TTTTTTTTTTTTTTTTTTTTACTACATTGCGCCATAAACATTAGCTGATTTTATAACAAGGTTTACAAGATCTAGCCCTTTCAGCCCCTGACCCACTTTCCCTCTTTAAATCTCTCTCTTTTTTTTTTTTTATAATTTTCACCATCCCCTTTTTGTCTGTGATTCACTTGCTCTGTGCATCCTTCATGCTGCGTGAAGGATGCAATAGAAAGCTGAACGGTTGCATATTGGCGCTATATCAGCAACCCCAGTTTATCTAAGACTATCATGGGTAGTAACCAACTCTTTTATGCGGTTCTGGTACCTGTCACCGATGTATCCCAGAACGCTGTGCTGGCATTCGTGAATCCAACCTCGTCGCACCGTCCATAGGGAAAGCAGTGATCATATTATTCCAGTTTTCCAGCTGCGGCACAATGAGGTTTAAAAGCCTGTTCTGTTTCATGCCATGAGACAGTGGCCAAACCAGACACTGGCTTCAAAATCCCTGACTCCCAGTCTGGAGCTAGGACTGCCAGTCCACACTCTCCTTTTCACGGGGCAAAACCCGCGTCAGAGGACGGATCTGCAACCGTTCCACACATCGGGAGAGAGCACGAGGTTATTCCTTTTGCATTTTCCTTCTAACAAGGGGGAAATATGATCTGATGGTTTGAGTGCAGAACGGTAAAAGCAGGCTGGGGGCGGGGGGCTATGATGATGGACATGTGGGAAGTTTTATGCATTTCAGCTGACACCTTCTTCCCAAGCGGGGCCAGGGCCCTCAGGCCTCTCGGACTCAGCTCCTCTGGCCTTAAATCAATGTGTTATTAGTACAGACATAACGATAACGGTACGTCAGTCACCTGAATCAAAGTATCTCTCTTTTTCTTCCAGCGCCGACGGTCCGTCCTCTGAGATCATGCAGATCGATTTTGAAATTGAAGACCTACATGATCTGCCTGGGACCCAGCTCATCACATGGCAGGTGGAATATCCTGGAGATACAACATCTGAGCTAGGCGTCTCCAAGATCTACGTAAGCCAAAAGGACCTGGTAGGAGTCCTCCCGTTGGCTATGGTAAGCAAGCGCCTGTTACTCTGCAAGCTCTGAAGGCTGTTTGCAACTTCAGCAGCCAAAGCTGCCTCTTATTGTTAAGCATGGGCACAATTGCTGGGGAAGATGTCTCCGACTGCTCAACCCTGATCTATTTGAACAAGGTTTTGGTGTTGACGTCAAGGAGAGCAAGAACTGACTTCATGTTCATGGCATCCCCAGGGTTCACCCCTCACACCAGATGCCACATAGAAGCAGCACTCCTAAGCTCCAAATTTGGCAGGATAGCTAGTGACATGGCTATTGTGAAGTGCGTGAGTAGTCCCAAACATGGGCCTGTGTTTAAATACTTCCTGACCCGGGTTTCAAACTGTGGTCCTCTGTTTATAGGAGGGGCAACAGGTCAAAACCTGCCACTGTGCAAGAAATGTTGAAGTAATCGGAGAATGCAAGAAGCATAAAATAAAACCAGGTGTCTGATTTGTATCACTCCATGCAAAAAAAGGAACTCCATAATCACAAAGTGCAGAGAAATTGGGTACTTCAAAAACCCCTACTTCCTTGACCTTGCTCTGTCTCAGATGACAATCAGATGATCCAGATTCAGATGGGGAAACAATATTTAGTGCGTGTGTCCCTCCCCCCCCCCATTATTGTATTGTCAGGGATGAAGTATAATCATCCAGGGTTTGGCTGCCCAGCGCAGGCTCCGAGACCATCCATTAGAAAATATTGACACGTGTTATTATTTAGTAGTGAAATAAAAACAGAAATCAATCTCTGAGTGTTTAAAAAAAAATGTAACCTGAACGGTTGCCTAGTGACAGCCAGTTAATTATTATGCCATTACTAAGGTCTGAGGGTGTTCTTGTGTGCTTCACAATTACATAGAGCTGATAAGGGCTATTATTGTAATTTAGCAACTTCTGAACTACTTGGATGCTGTGTTGCTTTATTGCACCAAACAATATTACACCTGTCTCTCGTAGTAATTCTTGCTTTTGTTATCAAGTCCAGCATCCTCATTGCGACACATGCGCCTATAAATCCCAACCGAGTTTTCCACCCCCCCCCGTTTTGCAGACGTGTTTCTGTGCAAGGAGTGAGTGGTCTCTGCCCTCTCATTGAGGCTTGAAAAATATGGGTTTGATCTCAGCCTGAACCTCCACAAAGTTCAGGGAGATTCAGAGCTAAAAAAAAGCCTTACCTGGTTCTATAATCTGCATTACTGAGTTTTTGGGTTGGGCCCTGAGAGAAAGGATACAGTGTTTCTACTCAGGGGTGTCAGCAAATGAAAGTGTTGCTTCTGCCTATCCAAACCCATAACTAAGAAGCACCTCCATAGAGTAGATCATCATTTTAAGCCAATTAGTTTTGACGTTAGGCCTTCATAGGAAGAAACAACTATGCTCCTGGCAGTTGGTGCAAAACAGGCAGTCCCCTTAGCCTTCACTCAGCAGATGAAAAGGACGTCCTATTTTCAATTGTATGCTCAAAGGTCATTATGATGTCTATAAAGTTATCAGCGGGTGACATTTTGCCAGGCAACAGGTGTTGGGATAATGGGTAGCAGAAGAAGCAAAGATATATGCCAGGGGTCCCATAATTACTGACAAACTGATAGATTTAACCTTCTTTGTATGAACTGGAGTGTCAGTGAAGTAGCCCTGGGGTATCGCAAATCTGAAAATCTTTGTAGTCCCTCACCTTGCACTTGCTTAGTGATGATTCAGGCACAGACCTTTCAGTCTATGCAACTCTTATTCATTTGGCAGTTCACAGTTCCCTATGACATTGTAACAACCAGGGCTGAATCACCAAATTTAAAATAAAATTAAAAAAAATCCCCCCAAATTCTTGCTGTCTAGAGAGATCAGCAATGAAAGCAAAGCTGTTGCACATGTTGTGTTTCTGTGGGTCGCCGTTTGCTCAGGTAAGCACTACTGAGCTTTCCTTATTTGTGAAACATGATTTTATGTTTGGAAGCACCGAGCTGCAATGCAATTGAACACTCTCATTAGAATTTAATTTTTCAAAAGAATACGTTTACATCTTTAACCGGGTGCAGGTTTTTTTTATTATTATAATAGAGTAGCGCATAATATTCTAGCACTCTTTTCTGTTTTGCTATGTCTTTTTTGATTACTCTCGTGGATTTACAGATTTGTGATTCATAAACAGTAGAATGATGATCAATTTAGTGCCTTTCCGAGTTACAAAATGCTACAAGAAGCAAAGGTCATTAAATTCTGATTCAAATGCATATATCAACATCAAGATGCACCGGAAATTTCTCGCCCTCTTTAAAATTATTACGATGCTTCAGTTGCTTTATTTTTCCCAATATTTAGGGTTGTTTTTTTTTTACAGCAAATAAGCATCCTAGCTCTTGAGACTCCTACTGGTCCCTTCAGCAACACCAAGAAAAGCTGAGCAGGGCAGGGCACTAGGCTATAGGTGAGAGGAAGCTGTGTCATCCACTTTATACATGGGTGGACACCTAAGGTCTGGTGTCTTAAATAACAAATCTCTAGTTATCAAGACTATACAATCCACTTAGCTAAGCTAAGCCTCAGAGCCAAGCAGCATGAGAAGTGGCATGAAGGCAGAAGTCTTGTTTCAGGTGACATATATTTCATGGGCTTGGCTTTGCAGCGGACCATTGACTTACACCTCCAGTTCTTTAAAAGTACTGATTAAAAGTACTCTATCCACTCTCTTCAGGTTTATCTTTCCCATCCCAAGGCAGGACGCCCCACACACCAGCTGCAATTCCAGTGCCCCACATATCCTGTTACAGCCTCTCCTCCGCCCTCACTGCAAATCACAGTTCTTCCTTCAGCACCTACTTAAAGTCCTCCGGTCCTGTCCTCTCCCCACCCTGCAACTCCCAGTCCCAGCCTCTTCCAACTCCCAGTCCCAGTTTCACAAGAATCTGTAGGTCAGTCTAGCCCTTTCCCATCCCCCTGGTCTCATGTTGCTCCTTCTGCATTCACATTAGATAACTTCTTCCTCTAACCTGCTTGAACCCACTTCTCTCATGGAGAAAAGAGAAGCCAACACAGCCCCGATGGTGAGCCAAGCCAAGTCCAACCTAGCCCAGGTTGCAGCCTGCTCAGATGCCCTGGCACACGGGTTGTCCAGCCAATGGTGGGAGCTGAAAGAGGTTTGAGCAAGTTCAATGAGCTGCTTCTTGGCTGAATGTTCATATCCCCACTCCAAAGCACTGAGGCAGATGAAACAGCATATGAGTTGGGCACTATAACAGCATTTTTTTTCCCTGCAGTTGAACCATTTTGGCTTAAAATGTATCGGCCTGAGGCACAGAAAATGTCAGCCCCCAAGGCTCACATTTCACAAAATTGTGCGAAGTCTGTGGGATGGTGGAGTATGTCTATAGGACACAAGGAAGCACTGTGCAGAGGTGCTCCGGGTTAGATCTTCGTGCACTAGCTCCAGAACCAGAAGTAGCAGAGCTCCTTCATGGGTGCTGTGCACAGAATAATAGGCTTTACTGCAAGGGACCACAGCTCTGAGAAGCAATTTGATGGCGTGTAGCACCATACAGACATAGCTGTGCTGGTTCCAGTCACGAGATGCTGTGGCATATCTCAACATTACTGTGCACCGTGTAGACAGACCCACCGTGACTTTTCCATAGGACATTAGTATTTTTATGCTGGAAAGGGTTGTCGAATGATGCAGTTAAATAGACTGTCTTGTATATCAGAAGCGATTAGATCTGGCTCACTTCCTTGAAAGGTCCCCGTCCCCTTATGGGCTTGCCGTACATTAGAGCTGCATGTAGCAGAGTTCCTTGTATGAAGCACTTAACTTGGAAATAACATTTCTGCTCCTGCCATTCAGTCCAAGAATCCCAAAGTACTTCAGACCAGATGTAACAGTGGTCAAGCAGCCCTGGGATACTTCAAACCAATCATGCTGTTAACATTTCAGAGTTGATAACTCTGCTTTGTTCTTGCCCAGAGTGGCCTTGGTAATTAAACTCATTGGCAAACAAAGCAGCCTGCCCGACACTAGAACCAAATTAACAGCTTTCACCTTTACTAGGGAATAGAAGAACTTTTTTTTTTCTCTTCTTACCTTTATCAGCCTCCGCTTTCCCTTGGTATTCATTTTTTTTTTTTGCTTGCTTCCTTCCACTTTCCGTCTTTTTAATGTCCACAGGTCCATTGATTTAGCTTTCCCACCCCCACTTTTCCCTGAATTAACTGGGACATCTTCTGTTCACAGTGTAGCCAACATGAACCTAAAAATTAACCTTATTACTAATGAATTGAAACGGAGGTGAAGGGGTGAGAGGATGCAAAACTCGATTAACAATGTGGTAGTAACTATTACAGTCTGCTTGACAGGGGCAGGATCTCCAATTACAACCTTCGTGTTCTTTCCTTGATACGGGCCATATTTACAATGGCACATCGTTTCTGCTTGGTGAACTATGGAGTAGCAACAGCAGCTGAGTTTCCGTTACTCATCTATTTTTGCCTCCGCCAGGCCTTTCAAAATCTACAAGCAATGGCTTATCAGGCTCAAAAATGGCAGGTTTGGTATGGAACAAAGGTAGCATTTTCCTATGAAGTCTAAATTAAATCCGACCAAGGACTCCTGATTTTATGAGGGCCAAAAATGGACTTCCCTAAATCCAATTAGCTACTTGGTAGCAAATAAAATGTTAAGACTAGTGAGGGGATATATTTACTTCCCAGGACACATCCATGTCCCAATTTGGGAAAGCGTCCTTATTCGGGCTAGAACCTGAACACGTTTATCTGGTTCTCGGAAAAGGCACGTGCGTAAACATGTCCTTCTTTGAATCAGGGCCGTAAGTGATGATCGACTAAAATGTTAACTAAATGATCAACTAAATTATCTCAAACTTAAGAAGCTACAAAGTTGTGGAAATGGTGGAGTTGTGGGCACTCTGCTTGCGTGAAACAAAACAGCACTGTTTCACGTGTAGCAGCCCATAGCAGAACAATCATTTTCATTTTTCAGGACAT